AAAAAAATAAGGCCCAATGATCCCAAATTTGGATATGGCACACCAAACAGTGACTTTTCGTGAGTGCAGAGGTCTCTCATGGAATTGCCTTGGGTTGGTGTCAGCCCAGTACTGAAAGTTCTGCTTGTTAACTCTCTGCGTCGCAATGACTGAACGGCCATTTTCCAAAAAGGAGCGCACAGCGAATCCACGATGTTCTCCAGTCCAAATCATGATGTTAACTGAAAACGGTTGAGAACAACCTTCCTAATAAGACCCTGCCCAACAACCTACTCACGCCATCTGGTGAGCAACGGATTTTTCAAACTCGGGCAAACCTTTCGCCGCACCCTGTATATTACTCAGAGCTGATCCCACAAGATGCACAACATTAGCTTCTTGCCATGAATATTCGGTTTGGTCGTTGAAGTTGGTGCATCCTACGCTTTGGGTTGTCGTAGTGGATCCACTTTTCATCCCCCGTCACAATTCGATGCAATAAACCCTCCCGATTTTGTCTTTGGAGAAGTTGTTCGCACGTGAAAAGACGGCGTTTGACGTCTCTGGATTTGAGTTCATGCGGAACCCAATTTCCTTGCTTTTGTACCATACCAATGGTCTTGAGACGGTTTGAAATCGCTTGTTGAGACGCTCCCAAGTTTTCTGCGAGCTGCTCTTGAGTCTTGGTCCAATAATGCCTCTAACTCAGCGTCTTCAAACTTTACTGGCCTTCCTTCGCGTTCTTTATCTTCCACGTCAAACTCGCTGTTTTTAAACTTTTGAAACCACTCACGAACACTTCTCTCACTTAAAGCAGCATTACCGTAAACTTNCGATGCACCTCAGCAGCAGATTTCTTTAAATGAAAGAAATAAATCAAAACTTCCCGCAAATGACGCTTATTCGGTACAAAACTCGACATTTTCAAACGAAAAAAATATATACTGCCAATACAAAGTCAATAGTATTTTAAGGTTATGTTGTTGCCAGGTGTCCAAACTTTCTATATGATGTTTTACATCTGACGATTTCAAAGTAATCTTGTCGGTGGAGCCATCTTTTAAAAACGGCGGAAACTTATTCGTATTACTAATATATAAATTTTTAGGCACCATCTGAATTACTATATAGATTTTCATACACTATGTAAATTTCTATATAAATTTATAATAATCTACAAAGATTTACATGAATTATGTGAGATTTTCGTATATATATATATATTAGGTAAACCGAAAAGTAATCAAAATTTGTTCGATGTGTTCATTCACAGTCAGTTTGTGTGGAGACACGGTCCAGTAAACACGTAAGTTTTGTTGCTACGGTCAAGCTTGGTTGTAAATTCTATTTTTCGGTTAAAAAATTTTTGTTCTAGTAAAGAGGAAAGATGTCAAGGCCAACAAAAGAAGAAGGACATTTACGTCATTGTAGGCTATTTTTGTTCGATCAAGGATTGAAGGTAAACGAAGCAGTGAAAAAAATTAACGATACTCACGGCGATGTTCTAGAACTAAACAAGTATCATAGATAGCTTAAAAAGTTTAAAAATGGAAATATGAATCTCGAAGATGTTGAACGAAAGGGACGACTTCAAAAATTAGATGATGATATCCTGAGGGCGATGGTGGATTCAGATCTTGGTCAAACTATTAGGGAATTATCACTAAAGATCGGCTGTCCATGGTCTACAGTTCAGGATCATCTTCATCGCATGGGAAAAGTGTATAAGCAAGGAATTTGGGTTCCTCATGAATTGACAGAGACGGCACTCGATCAACGGCGTACAATCTGCGCGTCTCTTTTGTCTTGGTATAAAACCGATCCGTTTTTGCGACGAATTGTAACTGGAGATGAGAAGTGGGTGCTATACAATAATCCTATAGGAAAAAAACAATGGCTTTCTTCCAAAGAAGCACCTATTCCGACACCTAAACCATCACTAACATTAAAGAAGGTCCTTGTTTGTGTGTGGTACGATTTTTCAAGAATCATATACTATGAATTGCTTGAACCGTTCTAAAAACCGAACTAAAAATTGCTCAGACCGTTCAGCGACAGTGTATTGTGAACAACTCGAACGAAAGAAGCAAGAGCTCTTTAAAAAACGACATATTTTGGTCAATTACAAAAAAAAAATCCTTCAACACGATAACGCGAGGCCTCATTCTGCAAAAATAACACAGAAAAAAGTTAGGGAGCTTGGATTGGAACTTTTAACTCATCCACCTTATTCACCAGATCTCGCGCCGTCGGATTACCACGTTTTCAGATCGTTAAAGCATACATTAAGAGGTAAAAACTTTAACAATGTTGAAGTGAAAACGTACTAGGAAAAGTTTTTCAATGCAAAATTGAAGGACTTTTTTAAAAAAAGAAATCGAACGACTGGCTATACGCTAGCAAAAGGTGTTAAAAAATTATGGAAATTATTTTGTTGATTAAAATGTAGTATTTCTTTAATAAATAAATGTTTTTCGCCAACAAAAGAAATTTTGATTACTTTTCGGTTTACCTTATATATATATACGAGGTCTGTTCAAAAAGTATCACGAATTTTGTGTTCTTTCAAAAATTATTTATGTATTCATGAATATCTATTTTGTCACCTTCCAAGTAATCCCCATCAGATATTATACACTTGTGCCAACATTTTTTCCAATCCTCGAAGTACTTCAAAAAATCATTTTTTGTGATCTTGTTCAGCTTCTCTTTCGATGCCGTCTTTATCTCCTCAATCGTAGCGTAGCGTCGTCCTTTCATGTGCCTCTTCAGTTTCGGACACAAGAAAAAGTCACAGGGGGTTAGGTCTGGGGAATACGGTGGCTGCGGCATCATTAGTGTGTTGTTTTTGGCCAAAAATTCGCGCACAAGCAAAGGTGTGTGAGCATCGCCGTTTCGCGGCGACCCGTCTTATGCCCAAATCATTAGTAAAAATCGAATGGAACGAGCCAATCGATATGTTTAGATCCTCAGCAACTTCTCTAACGGTGATTCGACGATTGGCCAATACTATTTTCTTCACTTCATCAATGCTTTCGTCTGTTGTTGACGTGCTCGGGCGTCCGGCACGCTCTTCGTCGTTCACATCTTCTCGGCCCTCTGAGAACATTTTACCACCGATAAACGTTGCTTCGGTCCAAGGTAGCTTCACCATATGCCACAGTCAACATTCGGAATGCGTCCGCGCTCTTAATTTTGTTTTTCACACAAAATTTGATAAAGATTCTTTGATCCATTTTTTGGAATAGGCAAAAATCGAAGACGAGCCAAAACACGTCCAAACAAAACAGCTGTCAAAGATAAACTGAATATTCAAAATAGCCGAACTTGTCGGCATAAGTGAGGGACATGAGTATCAACATAACGCCACAAAAAATTCGAACATCGAATATAAGTAACCCGCGAAAATTCAAAATTCGCGATACTTTTTGAACAAACCTCGTATATTAAACGCACTCTTTTCTTACATGTGAGAGCGTGAAAAATAGCATATCGGCACTAATTGATTTTTCCATGTGATTAAGAGATTCAACTACGTGATATAGGTATTATACGTGATTATAGTCGTGATTATAGATTATAGGTGGGCCCGCAAATTATACACATGAATATGGAAGCTTTAAACGCCGGTTCGGAACGGCAAATTTTGGAGGGAGCTTTTCCCGACATGAATACTCTTGGGGTTTGCCAAGATTACCGAAGAGGAGCTACAAGCTATGAAAAATTTTCTGGCTTTGCCGGGGAACCGAACCCGGGACCTCTAGCATGCTAGACCGTTGCGCTGTCTATACACTGTACCACGCTCGCGCTCAATAGGTCTATATACTTATAACATCATTATCCTCTCTACAGTTTAAATAAAAACTTGTCCAAAAGAATGCAAACCGATACGAAATCAATATCCTGCATTGTGATGCTTCAACATAGAAAGAAACAAATAGTTAATTTTATTAAAAATTATTTATATATGTTTTTCCAATTTTATTTATATTAATATATAATAATATTTTAATATATTGATAATAAGATATGATATACTTTATATTCTTACATGATGGGCTCAACTTTATGCATTCCTTTATTTGCACAGGAAAATTTTCATATACAGGGTGTTCCAGACCACCCGTCTTACTCGATTTTTTTGTAAACGCGGCATTTTAAAGAAAAATGTTTCAGACAAAAGTTTTGTGAC